ACTTTCCAAGCCCAAGACCTGCTTCACCTCACCCCCAATCAGCTGTGTCCCCAGTTCCCAACCCTCAGCCCTGGACACTAGCCCTTGGGGCCTTGGCCTTCCCCCAGGGTGCAGAAGTCTGCAAGAGGAGCGGGAGATGCTCAGGAAGGCGCGGTATGGCTTTGCCGCCACCTGGGATGTCAGCTTCCTCCTTGTGCGGGACTTGCAGGGATTTTTTTCCTGAACCTGATTTCTCCCTTGGGGATTCTGGGTTTGCTTCCTGGGCTCTTGGTGTCTTCTCGGCAGAACCTGAGTGTGAATGTCGCTGGAAAGCCAAGCTGAGTAATCATGACATCTCTCTGTTCGCTTAGCTCCAAGCAGTTGCAGCAGTCACCTACCCCAGCCTGTCACATCCCAGAATTGGGGTCTCCCATCCCCAGTCGGACAGGAAACCTCACTGCAGAACCTGCTGACCCAGCCAGAGTGTCTTCTCGACAGCGCCTGGAGCTGGTAGCCTTTATCTACTCCTCGTGCATTGCTGGTAAGAGCAAAGGGAGCTGCAGTAGATACACTTGAAAACTACAGGGTAAGAGGATGGATGAGGCACATAGAGCCTTGGTTGTCAGTGGTGCCCAATGTTACTGCATTTTTTTTTTTTTTTTTTAAATATCCAGAGAACCTGGTACCAAACCTTTTCTTGGAGCTTTTCTTCGTCCTTCAGCTCCTTACTGCCCGAAGAATGGTGGCCACCAAGGATGGTGACCTTGAATCAAGTCAGGGTGCCCTAGGTCAGTAAGCAAGTCAAATTTTGAGAAATGAAGTTTGCAGGCGGGATAGTCATTAAATAACCGTTTGTTATTGTCCTAGATTCCCTGGAAACCCCCCTGTTTCAGAGCATCCACGATTGTGTCTTCTTTGCAGTGCAGGTTTTGGAGCATCAGTTTCAGTGAGTTTTCCTAGCTGAGGCATTATGGGTCTTAGTCTCATCTGTCTTGTTCTATTGATTTAGGATACATAATTGTCCTTAACATAGATACAATGGCCCTAGACCTTTTTGTTTGTTTGATTGATTGATTGATTGATTGTTCAGTTGTTTGGTTAGTTGGTTCTTTTGGCTGGCCTTGAACTCCCTATGTAGACCAAGCTGGCCTTGAACCTATATAGATTTGCCAGCCTCTGCCTCTCAAGGCACCTGTAACATTTAATTTTGTGTCCACTAAAGAAATTAAATAGCGGGGTCTGGTGCCAAGCAAGGATTACAAGTGTAAAGACCTGCCCAGGCTGCAGAAAGTTCAAAGCTAGCCTTTGAAAGTTAGTGAGATGTAGTCCCAATAATGAAGAAGGGCTTAAGTATGTAGATCAGTGGAGTGCTTGCCAGAGATGTGGAGAGCCCTGTTTACCACAGGAAAGAATAATAATAATAATGGCAGCTGACTTTTATGTTTATGGCTAATGTTCCTAGCTTGCTGTCTTGATCTTAATTCCATGAGGTCTCATTTCTTCATCATCTTAATCCTTGGCCCAAGGCCTTGCCTTACATACTTAGGCTTAAACACTGCTTTGTGCTTGGAGCCTGTGTTCCAGTCCCAGTCAAATATGCTCCTGTCTTTGCAGGGTTCTTTCCTACCTGGACAAAGGGACCTTGAAGCTGCTGGCTGAGAATGAGCGGCTGCTGTGCTTCTCACCAGCCCTGCAAGGCCGCCTTCGAGCTGCTTATGAAGGCAGTGTTGCCAAGGTAGTCACCCCCACTTAGGGACCTAATAGCCTAGACATTTTGTAAGTTTAGGGAATCTTTATGGTGCTGTCAGATGGGCTAACTCTGAACAAGAATAAGGTATAAAGTCTTCTAACATGATTCCAACAGGTCTTATTTCCTAATGTTGTTGCCATGTTTTAGGTCTCTCTGGTGATACCACCCTCTGCTCAGGCTGTCTCCTTTCAGCCAGAAACTGACAATCGTGCCAACTTCTCCAGTGATCGAGCCTTTCATACCTTTAAAAAACAGAGGTGAAAAGAAAGGGGACCTGTTGAGGAGGGAATAGACAGTCATTTTACTGTCATAGAATTAGGACTTAGGCACTAAAAGTGGTGGGTTAGTACTGTCAGGCCTTTGCTGACAGTCATCATAAATAAAGCCTGTTGGCTTCATTCTGTTTCATGTCCACAGACCTGAATCCCTGAGCTTAGCCAACCATCTTAGGGTCAACTTTCCCTGTCCACAGATGCCTATGATGTGCTGCTGCTGGGTCTGTAACATACCATCATGTAGAGAACTATGGAGGTTAAGGATTGGCTGTGGGTAGGCCTATCTTAAACCTTCCAAGCAAGGGAGAGTGCTATGGGAAGTGGGTGAAAGGCAACTGGGATTCGTCTGATCAAGCTTGCCTCCCTTTCAGGGATGTGTTCTATGAGGTGCTTCGAGAGTGGGAAGATCACCATGAGGAACCCAGCTGGGATTTTGAGAAGGGATTGGGTAGCAGGATCAGGTGGGTGTTCTGCCCTTGCTCAATTTGTTTCCTTGCTCTGACAGTCAGCAGCAACCCAGTGATGTTTAGAGTGTTCATTGGAAAGGTTTGCTCTCCTTCCAGCCCTCTGTTTTCCTCAGTCTCTAGTTATTGGTAACTCTACCTAGGTCAAAAAGGATTTATCTCAACCCGGGCAGTGGTGATGCAGGCCTTTAATCCCAGCACTTGGGAGGCAGAGGCAAGTGGATCTCTGTGAGTTCGAGACCAGCCTAGTCTACAAGAGCTAGTTCTGGGACAGCCTCCAAAGCCACAGAGAAACCCTGTCTCAAAAAAAAGAAAAGAAAAAAAGGATTTATCTCTGTAGCTGCTCATACCCAGGAATGCCCTGTACTTATTCTGTAATGGCAAATGCTTGGGAAAGGTTCCAGACCGCATAGGCAGATGACCACACTGTTGACAAAACATCCTCCGTCCTCATCTCCCTCTCACATTGATCACTAAGTCACTGGCACTGAGCATGGCTTGATGACCTGAGAGGTCATTTCTTGGTGGGTTAGGTCTGCTAGCTTAGAGGAATCTTGATCGTGAAGGGAACACATCTTACTTTCTCCTGCTGGACTAACTGGCAAAGAACTATTCAAGTCTTCAGTAAATAGCTGGAATATGTCATTTATATCTCTTTGCCATACACTGTATATCTGCCTCTTACTCCTCAGAGCCATTATGGATCAACTTTCAGCAGCCTGCAGCCACAGCCACTTTGTCCGGCTTTTCCAAAAACAGCTTCTCCAGGTAATAGCTGCAGTGGTAGCCAAAAGATGTGGGCAGCTAAATCAAGGCTGGCACTTTGGACCAGGTAGACAACCTAGTAGATTCTGGCTGCATTTTTTTTTTTTTTTTTTTTTTTTTTTATTGCCATACACTGTATATCTGCCTCTTACTCCTCAGAGCCATGATGGATCATGTTTCAGCAGCCTGCAGCCACAGCCACTTTGTCCGGCTTTTCCAAAAACAGCTTCTCCAGGTAATAGCTGCAGTGGTAGCCAAAAGATGTGGGCAGCTAAATCAAGGCTGGCACTTTGGACCAGGTAGACAACCTAGTAGATTCTGGCTGCATTTTTTTTTTTTTTTTTTTTTTTGTAAAACTTTTTTCTCACCTGTTTTTTTCCA